TTTACAGACCCCAAAACGCCGGCTTCGTATGGATGAGAGGCTGGTTTGGTGAAAAATTTGTGGAAGGAAGCACCACACACGCACTAACACTCAACTGTCCTGATCAAACACCTGGAAAAGGAGGGAAGCAGCCCATGGTCACACTGGAGGAGCTGCAGGGATCCACAGCTCAGGTGGGAGGCCCTGGACTGGAAAACTAAACTTTAATTTGCAGACTGATTAAGTTGGTGAAGATTCTCAGTCATCCAGGTCAAAGTCATTCCGAAGAAAAGTTAGAAAACAATCCGCTGGACTTTGCTTCCAAGTTTGAAGACGTTTTGCTTCCCATCCAGGAAAACTTTTCAATTTAAGTGTTGAGTCCGACGTTTTATAGAGCGGACTATAAATAAAGCCTTGTATTTGCTTAGAAAACATGCAAATTGAAAGGGACATTCTTTGGAGGACCAGAATGTTCACATTTTGGACAAAGAAGACAGCTGGTTTGAGAGAGACATGAAGGAAGCCATCTATGTCAAGAGAGAAAAAGCAACCTTAAACACTATCAGCGCAACCCCTTTGCAGGGAAACAGAGGACCTCGCCTATTCAGCCAGGCCAACAATTCACTCTAACGACCCCCATTACAGAGACATAGACAGGTATGGGGAGTTGCAGGCTAACAAAGAAGCCAAACACCCCCCGTTCCTTAGGGGCGGACCCGTGCTTCAGGTTCAGTTTGCATCTTTTCTAAGCAAAAACAAGGCTTTGTTTTTTTTCCCGCTCTTTAAAGCCTCGAACTCAACGCTATTTCTGACATTTTCAATAGAAAAAGCTTCCTGGATGCGAAGAGAAACGTCTTCAATCTTGGAAACTTTTTTTTAACTTTTCATTGGAATGACTGGTTAGGTTTTTAAAATGTTGAAATGAAGTCAGAATGTAGAGGAAACTGAAAAACTGATCAGATGAAAACAAAACTAAAGTTTAATCTGCAAAAATCTATCAATGAGCTTCACCCAAAACACACAGGAGGAAACACAGCAGCAGCAGTATCATGCTGAGGGGATCCCTTTCTTCAGGAGAAGAAAGATAAATCCAGAAAAGCTTATAGAGGCTGCAGAAGGCTCCAGTAGGACGACCGCCCTGGACATCCAGGGTGAAGAAGGGCTCCAACCTTTAGTCTCTAGACGAATAGAAAACTTTGCGGGTTTTATTCTCAAAGATGAACAGCTCGGTCCTGTACAACCATCCATGAAGTGGATGGGAGCATTTCAGAGCAGATGAACCATTTAAGGATCTGTCCATCGATCATCAGAAGTTCCTCAGTGGTTTTCTCTCAGAACATCCTTCCACCTGTTTAATTGAGCTGATGAGGACCAGAAAACTCTAACAAAGGATACGATATCTTTGAACTCCAGGTGGGGAAACCTCTTCTTCAGCTGGGCAGCTCGCCGTAATGAACTCGTGCCAATCACACTGCACACAGATGGAGACACCATGAAGAAAGATCTGCTCCTTCAGGCTGAGCAAACACCCGGCGTCCATTACTGCTCCTACCTTTTCTCTGGCAGACTGTCCAGAGTTTTCCCTGCATGGTTTGGGTGGAGCACCACTGCATCATGGGGGTTCTCCCTCCTGAAACGAAGGACACAACATGATCTCCTGATTAAACCACAAATATTCATCTTTCCTTCTAATACATGGGAGCAGCACATCTGGAGCGTCAGACCTCCTTCCAAAGCAGATGTTTGACCCAAATGTCATGAAATAGACCAATTAAAGGCCTTAAAATGATTAAAGGTGCAGCAAACAGGAAGTCCGGCTGAGCTCAGAAACTGGGGAAGGGTTCCTCCTGGACTTTTTGCATATCAGGAACTCCTCATAATACCGCCCTCCCACACTGAGCTGTTATCTCCTTGGTAGAGTCTCTGTTGGGAGTTTTTTCCATGCTCCAAACACAGAGGAAATCAAGCTTACTTACTTCAGCACGGCTCCGATGGTGAATCCTGCAGGCAGGGTGGTGGGCAGATCTTTCAGCGAGTGAACGACCAGGTCGACCCTGCAGTCAGAGCAGAGGAACATAGCTTAGAACTCCTCCATTCATGTTTCCTGTCTGAAAGACTTCATTCAGCTGCAGATTACAAGCAGCTGCTACATCTGAAGCAGCTCAGATGTAGCGGCTGCTTGGTAAAGATCTCATCTGCTAAACGGTGCCTCACTGAAGTATCTATACCAGAGAGTAAACAATGAATCAGATTAATGAGACTCTACTACATACCTTAAGATGACAGAGCGACCCACATAGATATAAATTAAGATAAAACAAACTAATCTGTCAGTCTGCCTCAAGCAGAACTCCTCAGGTGAAAAGGTTTTAGTTTCACCTGGTTTAATCTCCTAAAAAGTCTCCTTTAAGGAACCTTTGGATATTTGTCCTAGGTCCCAGGTCCCAGGTCCTAGGTGAGGAACCAGACAAAGCGCAGCCC